AGTCCTCACGTTTTGATATTCCCAGATTCCAAATGCAATGAAGAATTAACTCTGAATGTAAGTACTGACATTCACCCCAGGCGTTACTCAGCTTCGCTTCTAACTGGACATGACATGCCTCTGACCTCGCTTCCTGCTATCACCTCCACTACTGGCGCTGACTTCCCTTGCAGGTACAGATGTTTGCCTGCGTCCTCCTGCCTCCCCCATGACACAAGCTTTCTGGAGTCTCCTCAGTGTGCACAAATCCTACACGTCCTCCTCTGAACACTGCTGCTCTGAGAGGTCTCCGGTTCTCAGCTCACTTTATATAAACAAATACTTTGAATATCAATCAATGAATCAGTCAATCTGCCTATTAGTCCCTCTCATCTTCTTAGACAATTAAATACTTAAAACCAATGGCTACACATTTCTAGTTAATACTTTTGCACTACACATAGTACTACAAACATAAGTAATTAGTATTTGTCTTAAACGTTAACTTTAATTTGAAAGACCAAGATCAGAGGTATTTGGTATTTACATGAAATAGTATTACCACAAAGTGGGATATTTTAGAGATCTCTAGAAACATTGCAACATGGCTCCACAAGCAGGCGCGGAACTCCTGAGATGCAAGAGTCAAGGTCCAGAAAGGCTCAAAACTGCGAAGTCCCGACGAGGAGCAGAGTTCTCATGCCTGCTCTGATATTTCTCCAGACACCTCACTCAGGTAGATGTTTTCCCTCATTTATCTGAGTCTGGAACCTACCAGTATCTCACAGCAAGATGCGTATGCCCACAGGGTGAGCTTAAGCTAAAACTGCCGGAAACAGAAGCACAGCTGCCAAGCAAAGGAAGAGAAGGTTCTGTATTTTGTTTAGAACTTTTCTAAAAGCTACCGGTCACTTTGGAGCAGCAGGCCACCGTGTGACACACTGGCGACAGCAGGGCCCTCAGAACTGAGACATTGAAACATGCTCTGAGTAGCCTATAACCACAGCTAGCACACTCACAATAGGTGTTCTTACGAGAGGCACATTGGCCACTTTTTCTTGTTCTCATACGACAATGTGCCTCAGTGTCCTGAAACATACTATTTTAACATAATGTAGCTGTTATTGTTTGAGCTACGTGTAACATCCAGGGCATCATATTTATTTTTCAAACAGCTGTACATATGGCAGGCGATGGCGTCTATGAAATGAGGGATAGAGAGAGGGAGGGGGGGGGAGAAAGGGAGGGAGAGAGACAGACAGACAGGGACAGAGAGACAGAGAGAGCTATGGGAAGGGCTGGGGTAGGGTGGAGGCAGGAGGGTAGATGTTTCAGGTACAGGTGGTCCAACAGTTTAGACTTTTCATTGTCATCAAATGGTGACGGGCATCTCATGATTATCTATGTGGACACCAAAGCTCCTCTTCCCGGAATGCCTGCTTGTTCTGTGCCTGGGAGCTAAACCTGCCTTTCCTGGGTTTTCACCATGCATGTTGGAGATGTTCCTGAAGCACTGACTTGATACTAATTGCAGTGCTGGAGTCTCAGGAAACAAAGATGAAACTACAGCCTCTCTGGCCTCAGGGTCCATGAAACACATCCCCAAGACTTCAGCAGAAGGTACACTGTGCACAACCGCGGAACGTGGTGGGGTCACTGCACTGTGAGACGAGGCTCCAGTTACTAAGGTCCTGACATCTGCCAGGGTGAAAGGGGGGGGATCTGGAAATGGCTTCCAGCAGGAAGGGGAGGCCATCCCGTCTAAGACAAGAGCACAGACAGTGGGCAAGGTCAAGGTCAGTTGGGAACAGAGGAAGGGGGACAAAGCAGCAGCCGAGCCCCAGGTGGGAGACGGCCGCAGATGCGCAGTGTTGGCTTTGAAAGACTAGGGCGTGAGGGCTGATCTTATAGGGCAACCTTGTAAGCAGAAGCGGGCACAGTTGCGAAAGGCCCTAAGATTCTGTAAAATTTTAAGTTAATATATCACAAGGTAGAATTTCACACACACACACACACACACACACACACACACACACAAATAAAAATAAATAAATAAATCTGGATGTGTCTTTTGTGAAGATCCGGCAATAAGACGTATCACTTGCTTTACTCTAACTCCAGGATGGCTCATCGCCAAAACTGACATCGATTCCAGGGCAGGGTACCTTGTTTCCTTATCTGCCTTCTCCCAAGCTCCTGTGGGGCAGGCACTGGGCACAACCTGTGGGATCTTCTGAGAGGGAGGGCTGGCATCCCGGCCTCACAGCAGTGGAGGCTGTGGCTAAGGGGAACAGTTGCAGAGAAGCGTGTCATTTTTGGTTTTGTAAATCCTTATTGACCTTCTATGCTTCTTTCTAATGCTGCATCTCTTCATGTATTTGTATCACAAGGCCTGGCCAGTGACTGAGTCTTGAAAGATGAGGAGGAGGGAAACAGACATGGAATCGTGGCATATTTGAGGAATGCCAGGAACCAGCGGAGACCACACCCTGGGGATGACACAGGACCCACAGGAGGCGGCCAGAGACATGTCTGCCAGAAGCAGAAGTGGTCAGAGCACCCCACGTCAAAGAAAGATCAAAGAACAGGAAAACCAAAGTGCGTCCATCCACTAGACTTGGCGGCTGTGAAGTCGCTTTCAATAACCAGACTGGGCAGAGCACATTAAATCAGAAGTCTCTGGGGAACATTTCTGAAATAGCTGTTTTCAAATATACAGAGTATCCTAAGAGGAAAAAAACATCATATTCCACAAAGCAAAATTAACAAGGTATACAACTGTTTTACTACGCATAATTTTCATTTCTATTTTTTAAAACTGTATTTATCTGATTTGTCACTTCTTTAAATGTTCTTACACAGGGTCTTTAACCTCATACGGGAATATGTGGGTTATAAGTGCTAAAAGTTTACAAGGATCGAGTAAGTCTCTGGGAATATAACTTGGCTTTAAAAGGCCTGCTGTAAAGCCCTAAACATGACCTCTTCTGGCCTTCTTACCCACATGAAGACTGCTGTCTTGCAAAGAAACAGGCAACAAGCACACAGTGACTTGGTTCCAAAAGATTTTCTGCTGAATTTGATACCACTTAAAAAATAACCTTTGAAACACTTTCTAGATTTACAGCGAGATAACTGGCAACTAACTCTTACGTGCTCATGCAAGCCTGCAGTACACATTATCACAGGGCTCTAAAACCTCCACAGAATTTTGCATTCCAAGAAGGTTACATGAAATGAACACTTAAAAACCTGCCCTGCTCTTTGTGTATAAAACAGGGAAACTTAGTACCTGCTACCAACTTTTACAGTAAATAAGGCATTTCAACTTTTTTTCAAAACTATTGTCATGCAATAATATGGTCCTGAAATTATTCCAATTATTTTAATATCAGTAGGATGGTCACATTTGAAAGGACTAGTACTTACTTATTAAGGCTTTATTTTATCCCTAAAGAATATGATTACAAATATAACCTTTTCCCCCTTTCATTTTCTTTTTTTTTTCCTCTTTTTTTCTTTTTAGCTCAATTTGGGTTGTGGACAATGCACAGGCCAAAGCTCAGGCTGTCATTGGTGGAGGACTTCTCTCCAGCAGGCCTTGGATTTGATTTCTATCATCATAAAAATACAGTGAAGCATATCGGCTGCGGACCCACCTAGGAAGGATGCAGCACTTGGTTTTTATGATCCGACAGTTAAGGCTGGAATGGCATAAGGAGCCACCACCTGACTTTAGGTTGCCTTTGTGTGTGTGTGTGTGTGTGTGTGTGTGTGTTTTCTTTTTAGAATAGAATATATTTATTAGGGGAAAGAAAGCTCCTGTCCTAGAGAGGGACAGAAGGGGGCCCCGAGCAGGTCGTCCCTGGGAAGCTGTCACTTCCAGGGACTTTTATGGAGGAAAACCATGTGGTGAGGCGGGTCTTAGGTGGTGGAGAACATGGGAACTTGCTTAGGTGGACATGAGGTGGGACAAAACTATGATAAACCAATGAGATTACAAGTACCACTGCTCAGGGAAAATTGATTAAATCCAGTACCAAATGGGGAAGTGAATCACATAGCAAGTGGGCATGAATATGGGACAGGGTCCCTTCCTGTTGGGGGTCAGGTTAGTGACTCATTTGGGATCCTTTGAGGTGACTGATACCTATTTAGAATATCAATCCCTGATGTCCATTGCTAAGGAAGTATGTAGCTGTATTTGTTTCCTCTTTTGTCTTGAGGTTTGGCCCTTACGGAAGTATCTCTTCCCAGCTGCAAAGCCACCTTGTCTTCCATCTTGTCTCCATGAGGGCCTGGCCCTGTCTGACTACCTACAATATTTCCATCTAATTCAGCTCCTACAACATTCCCCCTGGGAAGTAACCGGAACTGCCATGAGGGAACCATGGGCGATGACCGCTCTGGCTTCTTCAGGCTGAAATTGGTTATAGTTGTTGACCTGCCATCAGAGATACTCTCCAGAGGTTCTGTCTAAAGGCCTTCAATAGACACCAGGCATTTTTATCTTGGGTAGGCAGAACAGCTTTAAATCTGGAGTAGACAAACCAAAGAAACTATTAAATAGGCAGGGGCCAAATAATAACATCAGCAGGATAATTATAAATACAGTTGAAATGATTTTCACCAAGTAAACCGAAATGATTTGATATCTTATATTCTGAACAGCTATTGAGACATTAGCAGAAGGATCTAGGATGTGATAACCTTTTAAAGTTTGTAATTATAAAAAGACTAGTTGGAAGGTTT